TAGTATTCACTGAGTAAGGCCTGGGGCCACATACTGTTCAGAGAGGATGCAAAAATATTGAATAGCTGCTGTTCACAACAGTATGTGTATAATTAAAGATGCAGCATAACTCATGCAAACATTAAGGTTACCCAGGGAACCGTGATTCTTGCATTTCCTAACTTCTGAGGGCTTGATTTCCACAACTGTTACATCCCATTAATGTCGGTATCTGCATGTAATTTCCTGGATTCACCCTCCTTCCCTCAAAAAAAAATCTCGCGGGGAAAACTCACTAGATTCCCTCTTGTGGTGTCATGCTGAAATATTCATGGGGACCTTTAGTAGTCCTAAAACCTCTAGAGACTTCCAAAAGGTATCTGTCATTACAGCTATCAGAAAAACAAAGTAACTGGGCAGCTTCAACAAAAAGACACCTACTAATCCTACTTATAAAGGTATTTTAGTTCTACTAAAGTGCTCTGCGTGGGAATAGATGGGAAGGGTTTCCTTGCCTGAAAGCATTACAAGAGATTTCTGACCGGCAGAAGTGTGTGACGTGATGCTCAGGCTGTAGGTAGGGAGAGTGCAGGATGCCTTTCCTCAGTGCTATCTGTCATCTGTTTTGCTGCTCTGTTGAGGCAACAGGGGAAATGCATTAAATAAAAAGGGGGGAGGGGAATTTGGGTAACAAGCGAAACAGGAAATGGAAAATCTTCATGTTATCTACAAACCTTTAGCAACCAGAATCATGGTAGCAAATTACAGTCACATTTCCTGGGGTGCTTTTTATCTGAATTTAACATAAAACTAGCCATCAGCCTCAACAGCATGTCACGCTTACTTTCAAAGCCAGGCTAAGGAACTTGTCCTAATTGTGTTATTTTACTCCGGTACTGGAATTAATTTACTTTTAAGTTCAGATGAATCAGATGATGAATTTTAACAAGCCAGTGTTCCCCCCCAAGCAAAATGGCAGAGCTCATAAACCTCCATTTATCCAGTGATCAGGTTTTATTTCTCCACGGTAATTAATTTCAAAGACAAAGCATGAAGCAGTAGCTCATTTAGTGTCAGCTATATGCAGTAGCAGCAGAGGGCTGCCCAAGAAAGGAAGGCCCGTCCCATGTGCTATCATCATCTCCAAAAAATCGCTGCCTTTTGCCTCAAACTTACATTTTGCCAGATCTTTCAGGTTGATTCTGGGATATATAGAGAAGCTCCTGTTGATAATTCTACAACCCAAATGAAGTTTTGTCCAGAGTTCTGCCTCTTGCCTTTCTCACTGCCACTCCCCAACCTGTAGCACAGTATTTATCCTGTTTGCCCAGGTGCATCCCATTTACCCCAGCACATCCAAGCTGTCAACACATCCATCCCTGTCAACAGCAAGGGAGGGGACAAGGATGTCAGAAGGCTCCTTAAGGCCACATCAGGGTCTAGGCTGCTCTTGATTTACCCCACAAATTGGTGAATGGGGTAGGAGTGCAAAAGTCTGAGAGAAGCTTTCACCTCATCAGCCCTTCCCTTTCTGTTTTGCAGAGGGGAAAGAAGAACACCAAGGAGCCTGTCCTTCCCTCCTCGACTTCTGCCCTTTCTGTGCTATGCAGTATAGACTGAATTGAAGGCAGAAGAAGCGTTTAGGACTGAACCCGCTGCTGAGCACCCCCTGCCAGTCTACTAGGATTCAATATCTGCTATATTATGCAGAATCTCTGACATTTCAAAACCTGCAGCAAGTTCCCCCGTCCCTCTGCACTCTCCTAGTAATGGGCCTTTCTCCACTGCCTGGGAACCAACAGGACACAACACACCATACCCACACAGACAGTGAGAAGCTTGCACTCTTTTCTGCTAAAGGAGTTACTCCTTCAATTTAAACAGCAATAGCCATGGTTTTAGTTTGGGTTTCAAACCCTGATCACAATACATAAGGAAGAAAGAGCTTATTCTTCTTTCTATCTTGGAGCTACGACCTCCACTGGGCAGCAGAATTCCTGGAAAAAATCCTTGTGCCACACTTAGATAAAATCTGCAGATAGAAGAGAGCACACAGTCCAAGAAAGCAGCTGTAAGAACAGCAAGGAATCACCTCCCCCAGATCCCTGGTGAAGAAGCTGTACAGCCACTCCTCTGGCAGATGCTGGGTGAGCAGAGACAAAACAGATGACAAAGGTGTGTGTGCGCTGCAGGGGGGCAACTGAAAACAGCACTAGGGTAAAATAAAAGGTTAAAGGATAAAAGAGGAAAGGGAGCCACGAGTAAGGAGCCATTATACTCCATTGATCTGAAGAGATCAGAGAGACCTCAAAGGACAAGAAGGACAAATACCTCGTCCCTTGTTTTTAAGCAATGTCTGTTCATGTCTGTATCTGGGCTCTGCCTGGAGATGCTGTTCATTCACCCGCTGGCACTCTGTCTCCATTGATCCCAGTCAAGCTTATAATCAGAGGGGCTGGAGTCACGTAATGAAGCGAGCTTCCCCATGCTGAGCAAAAGCCTTTTTAGCACTTAGTGAAGGGGAATTCATCACACCAACTGCTTGGAACAGCCGCTGCACTGTCCTCTCTGGATCTTTTTGTGCCTTCTCAGTCACGTCACCTTTGAAAGATGTGAAGTGGAAAAATCTGACTTCTAGTGGACAAACTACTAAAAACATTTCACTGCAGAACTTACAGCTCTAAATCTGAAACTAAAAAATTCTTACAGGAAAAGAAGGAATCCTTCCAAATTCTGATATACGTAATAAAAAGTCTGATTGTCAAATTGTGTAAATTTAATTTGCAATCAGCATGGGGTTTGGTTCCTGTGTTAGACTGGCTGCATAGCACCCAGCGCCGCCGTGCCCTTCAAGAATTAGTGCACTACAAATAATACATGACAACAGTACTCTGAGCTTAGTTCAGCAACAATATCTAGTTTCCTCTGTCTTACACAGCAGCAAGTACACCATAACTGTGCTGAACACTGTTGTTATTCACTGTATAATCTCAACTCACTGCTTTTTCTGAAAATCAGGATGAGAACAGACCATTAAGCATGGCTATGAAGTTTTCTTTTTTAATATAAAAAAAATCTATAACAGTCCTTCTTTCTTAATATTTAATCTTCAAAAATATAGGAAACTGTAAAACCTATTAATTTAGATATATTATTTAAAAAATCCATTTAAGAGGAACTAATCCTGAAAAGACTTAATATTAATTAGTAAAAACAATATAACGTTCATCCAAAAGAGGCTGGAGAAACAATCTTGGAACTCCTTGAATTTGCTGGAGTCCAAAATTGAGAAAGGTGAATATGCAAGATATTTAACACCTCTGTATTTGTGTTCTACAATCTTTTCGACATATCTGAGAAATTCCCTTCAGTATCTGCTACAGCAATCGAATACACATCCTGGTTACTCCCTGTTCTCATTTTTGCAGTCTCTGTTGTACTGTTGCCACCTTGCTTCATGCTGAAGAATAAGGCCAAGGACTAAACGCCAAAGTGAAGGACGGTTTTATGAGAGTGAAAGTGACCTTATAAACGCCCCATTATACCGCAGAAATTTTATTTTCAGAGGTGTTAGCTACCACCTCTACTGACCTCTTCTAGGTTGTGGGCATGCTCATGATGCCTTGAAATCAGAAGCAAATTGAGCTATCTCAGTAATTTCAGATTACTATGTTCATATGTTATTATTTCAGATTTCAGTTTTAAATAGAGGTTGAAAGTGGAGCTCTCAACAGCCAACAGCTCTGCACTAAGTGTATGCCGACACTATCTACCTGTAACCAGCTTCTGAGAGGACACAATTAATCACAGTTTGCCAGTTACAAGGTTGCTGCTTACACTGTGCTGACCTCTTGGGTCTTAGTTCTATCAAACCTCAACATATATATCTGTGAAGGGGCAAAATTCAGTAGGTATTGCAAGGGCAGGAAAATTTGAAGAAACCCCTACCAAAGCACAGATTCCACTATTTCGACTTGAGATACCCAGAAGGTAAGTTCCCAAGTGGGAGTAAATTTAACATTTTACAGCAAATACAGTCTTCACCCGAAATGAGCTCAGCATGATATTACCACTTTGACAAACAGATCCAAACACACCCCTGCTCTGACACCAACCATCTGATCAGCTGCTTATCCCTCTGTTTGCTACTCTTATTCTGCACTTTCATCCAGTAAAACATCACATTAGTGCTCTCTCATGCATATAGCTGTTAATTAAATGACAGCAACGTATAATTTGGACTACTGTTGAAGCTAACACAAATTTTGTCCTAAAATGACATAGTGGAAAATTTCTGAACTCTTAGAAACACTGAGCATTAACAAAGGAACAGTTACAGTGAGATCCTGCTGAGGTAATACTGCACTGTCATAACTGCAGAAGTGTTTCAGCACTCTTATTTCCAGCTAATAAATTAGGACCAAATACAATTGGAGAAAAGATTTACCAGATAGCTCAGGCAAGGCTAGCTACAACACTGGCCAACAGAATCTGTGCTCCAAAAGATGTGTACCATGAAAAATGTGAAAACTGTGAAAACTCAACCCCACCCTCTATGCTGTTGGGTCGTTTCTGTGTCTTTTCCTTGTTCTGACATAGGTGATACCTGCTGGTAAAGCTGCCACTCTGCCTGCTGCATTGCAGTATCACTGCCTTCTACCACCTCCCTGCATTCCAGAAGATCCTATGCAGGCTGTAATAATCAAACAGTTCTGCGTTATCAACAGTTATTTTATTGTTGTCAAAAGCTACAGAAAATATTGGGTAGCCAAACGCATAAACACATGAAAGCATCATTAAGTATAAACCTAGGTCAAAACCTCCCCTCCTCAGGAAATGGGATACACGGTTTTCCTGTGCATTTTTTAGCTGTCCTCTTACCTTCACTGCAATTGCCTTCAATAGCGTTGTCTGTTGTAAAAACTAGTTAGGGGAACTTTCAAAAAGCTTCCACACAGAGGTGAAATACCAAAGGGTAGTGTTTCTATTTTCTTAGTTGGCATGAGAATAACAAAATTTACCTTGTCATAATAGTATCTGAGCGCTCGGCTCAGCTTGTCATAATTCATATTAGTTTTGTTTTTTCTGAGTCCCCACAGCTTAGCCACTTCTTCTGCCTTGAGTAGCTTGAATTCGCCATCATTAGACGTCCAGCAAATCAGGTGCTCATGTTTCTGGTCTAGCAGCAACTGCAAAAGGAACTGCCACAGTGTGATTGCACTCTCCATACCTACAAGGGACAAAGGAGAGCAACAGTGTGAAAAACATTTGGGAGCAGGTGTTCCACCCAACACACATTTCAGTAGCGAGCTCTGTGTAGGAGTCATCCTACGTAATTGAGCAAAGGAAGCTACCATATCATTTACAACCAAACATCCACAAGACCTGCATTTTAGCACTCCTGTTTCGATATTTTCTCCACTGCTATTTTCTGAAGGGGCACATAAAATAGAGTAAATATTTGGAAATGCATTGCCCTTATGGTTCACACAGTACAGTTTCATCTCCAATTGGTGTCTCCCATTCAATGTATGCAAACACACTTAAAAGGAACACGCAGGGGGTGGAAAAAGGGACTCATCCACTGAAATGAACAGAAACACTGCTGTTTACCATCATGAGAAACACACTGAACTCATTCACATGTGCCACTGTGAAGAAGGGGAGGAAAAGGGAAGATCAGAGCAGTTGCCTTTGGTTAGAGGAGCAGAAACCACACTTTCCTCCTCCCACCACACGCACTCGCCTTTCCTGTGTCATACGGCCTTTACATATTTTGTTTCTTCCAGGGCCTGAAATGGCTCTTGCTGCTTCTGTTTGCCAAACCAAACAGCTCAACAGATATTATCTATTTTGCAGAAATGCTGAAAGTTCAGTACACTTAAGCACAGTAAAGCAAGTGATGTTTACCCAGAACCTTTCTCTAACAGGGATCTTTCCTTTCATTATCGTACGTACAGCTGAGAAGTAGGAATATCTTTAACAATGCCTGAGTCTCACTTCTAAGGTTGTCTGAATATTTTTCTCTGCTGAAAGGTTGTTTGAATATCTTCGCCTCTGCTAACTGCCTGTGGTACTGAGCCCTCCCTAGAATAAACCCTTTTTTTTCAGGCACTGCAATAGAAGGATAAACTTAAGAATATTCCAACTCAGCACAGGCACATAAACAACTTAAAACTTGCGAGCGTTACCACTGAAGACAATTTATTGTTGTAATGAAGATGTAGTTAAAACTGACCTTTTAAACCACAGAACTACAAAAAGAGCCTTTCCCTCACTGTCAACAACGTTGCCAGCCTTATCATGTTAAAACTGTATCAAATAACTTCTTTTTGGCAACTACTTAATTTGGACATGTTATGTCTAACGGAGATTTAAACATGCTGGTTTCACTGGGTTAACTGACTATGGTGCTACGGGGGATAGCTATTATTTGACTTATCTTTGTGCCTGTAACAATGGGTATTTTTGTCTTTATACCTAAACAAGCTGATGATTGCTCATTTTGTTTCCTAATGTATTACTCTTCGTGTCCTAACAGACTACACAGCCAGAATAACCCAGGTGTCCTGCCTGAGGTGTCCCTTGGCGTGCTGACCACAAGAGGGCAGAAGACCTCTATCCACCACCCGAGCGGTGCAGCAGCGGCTGGGGGGGGACTGGCCTCCTCAAGCCCTCCCCAGCAATGAGGAACTCATGCTGCATCAGCTTCCCTACTGTAAAGGAAAATAAATTGCATCAGCTTCACTAGTGTAAAAGAAAGTTAAAGATACTAGAGAACGTTGTTGATAGTTTTACAGAAAAAGAGACTCTGAAGCTTTATTTTGGTCCAAATATTTCCTAAGTACACTGGGCAACAAACTTTGGAAGAATTAATGATGGGTTTTATTATCTCTGCAAAAGCCTTATTTCTCTAATTAACTGAGAATCCAGCCTGAATGACAAGGACAAAAATATCTACCCCTGACACCCAGCTGTGTAACACAGTGTACACAGCACCTTCAAGAGACAGCAGAGGCTCCCAGCACTGTTAGGCATCCTTGAAACAGAACCGCCTATATGGATGCTTTGGCTCTTTCAAAGCTTTGCGTTACACTTCATTTTTCATCACTTTATACAAATCCTTTTCCACACAGAATAAGGGAAGGAAAAAGTGTATAACTAGAATTAAATATACCTGAAAGTTGTATTTTCTTTTTACAGCCTTTATACCATCTGTGCAAGTATTAACATCTTTAATGGGATATTTGACATCATATCTAATGAAGTATTCCTATTAATCTGGCATCATATATACATACTTTTTAATTAGTATTTATAAATTTTACAACTTACTTCACTAAACATGTATAGGTGTATACAGCCATATTACTTTAAAATAATCTTAGTTTCTGTACAACACTATATTATACAGCAATATTCTCCATAATTTCAGCTTGCATCATACAACTCTTCCAAACAATAAACCAGAAACAGAACTTTTTTGCTCTGGAAAAGCAGAAGTAAATTTTATGTATATCTTTCTTCAAAATAGTATTAAAATGTGTACAAGTGTCCCACGCTACAAAGACCTGTCAGTAGAACTTCAGCTGAGGAAATTAAAGATGGAAGATAGTTATAGAAGCACCAGTACAAACTCCACCACCATGCCGCTAATAAAAACAAAAACAAAATCACTGAAAATTGGTTTTGTTCTATTTCAAACCAGGACAAGATCATCACCAGTGATGCCTCTTCAGAGAGTTTTGGTGGAACTGCACTTACACTGAAGTGCATTAACTGCAGCCTTCTCCACCCCATTCACCTCTCTCCAAGAACACTCACAGGGTACCCTACAGCTAACGTTGTACTACACTTTCCATTATGAACCTGTTTTCTGATGCTTATCCTTTGCAAAATGTAAACAGCTTCGGATCCATTTTATCTACTGAGTGTGGGCCTCACGGTGACTCTGCCATAGGCATAATGTAAAATGCACAAACAGTGCAAGCCTGGGTGAGAACATCCTACAGGAGTACCCACTCCACGCTGTCTGTCCCGGTGACTAAGGAGAGGTGACTTCCATCAGGTTATTATATAAAAGGCTACCACCACCTTTTTCAAAGCGGTTCAGTTCTTGGTGATCAGTTCTTCAACCAGCTGAGATACACACATAATGTCTGGGGGCCACTTCAGGTGCTGGACCCAAGGCAGATGGCTGCGGTGGGATTAGATTTAGGCAGCTACATCTCACCAGCCTGTTTGCCATACCATCGACTCTCCATGTGCCTAGCTCTGAACTGGCTTTAGAAAGGACCTGCCCATCTTAGAATTCAGCATCGATGTGCTTAACTGGTATGTGCATAAATCTTCTACTGGATATGACCCAAGTCTGCCCGCCACAGAAATGAGATTCAAACAGCTCAATGCTGCATTGTACTCCAGCCCTCTGTCTGCCACTGAGTTCCTGTGTAAAGCTTCCCACATTGCTTTTATAGCAACTGTAGGTATATGATTCCTGCATGAGGCAAATAATGCAAATTACATTTTCAGCTGATCATTAATTCTATAGCACCCAATGTAAGGCATTCAGGTCTGATTTGCACTGAATATTTGCAGCTGTAACTAACAGAAGCTTTGTGCTCAGCATATATGGTGATGGAAAATCTTAAAATACCTTGAATTCAGTAAACTAGTATTAATCTTTGTGCGTCATTTCTATTATCTAAAATGGGATTTGCAAGGGAATAAGATCCTGCAGTGACAGGATTTTTTTACTGATGCAAAATATTTAATTTCCAGTCAGCTCAACAGGAGCATTAACCTGCCTTTCTCTATGAGCATCATTTTGGGGTTCCACAAAGTATTAACTATCCTCTTGGGAGGACAAGATGGCCCCACAGTGTACTAAGCCTTAACACGGGCCTCATTTGAGTGGTGAAACAAAAGAACCGCAAAAGATGCATTACAAGACATGTAATTTAACTAAAAATATGCTACCAGTATTAAAAGTTATTATAAATTATGATTGGGAGAAGCCAGAAGTCTTCAGAAAACACTGTATTTAATTTATGTATTTTCTAATTCTTTTGAATTTTTACTGACTCAAAGTAGTCAGTAAAGGAGACTCAGTGTCAATCCTTAATTTGACAGAAATGGGTGTTAGGATGTGGTCACTTCCTATAGGGCATATATTTAACATTTCATTCAACTCTTATAAATATAAACAATAAACATTCCTGTTTATTCTGTGCTCAGGACAGGATTTGAATGCTGTGCAATAAATAATACATGGAACCAGATGCTGAATTACATGGATCAGAAGAATATAATAGTTTTTAATAAATCACTTATTTAGATAGTGACATCCATCTACGGTACAGAATAAGACAGACAATCTATGTAAGAAACATTCTCTGTCATGGAAAGCCTAATCAAAATTCATATAGTCAAAAGAGTCAAGCAATTTTTTTCATCCGTTAACTTTAACACATGTGGTTTTGCCATCTTGCCATTTCTAAGTATTTATACAATGCATTTGACAGTCAAAGATATTTTCTAAGCCATGAAACAAAATTTGCTTGGTTGACCTGACCTAAATAGCCTAGTAATTTTACTTTGTGATCAGTTCCACTACTGCTGATGCAAATAATCACTGGCATAGCTAGAAGGAATTATACTTGGAAATCCTGTGTTAGACAGCAAAAGGGTATTTCAGGACTGAGGTTTCTGAAAGTCCATTTCTCAGGCAGATGTGACAGGTGGCCACGCTAATACCCTTTGCATTATCAATTAACATCCTTTCAAATGTGCGTGCCCCTCCATACAAAGCCTACCAACTGCATGACTGGTGTGACACAACATGATCTCCACACATCAAATTTTAAGTTCAGGACTGATGCGGGAAGGAGGCAACTCGGAATATCTGTGCTGGTAATACTGCTCCTATTCATTTCAACCAAATTAAGGGACTAATGGAAATGCCTAAACTTGAAGTGGCAACAAAGTCAATGTCGTAAGATCTCCCTGAAGAGAATAACAGAAAAGGACAAGAAACATCCACAGGGCAAAGCATCCCATCTAAGAGATCGTTTTCCTGTAAAGGGGGTGTCTAAATTCCTCACTTAGGTGAGGGGCCCAAATGCCAAACACCGGCTCTCCCCTTAGTGTATGGAGACTGACTTCCACCAGCATGAACAAGTATTATGAAAACAATATGCAAGTTACACTAGGAACAGTTAAGTTGTATGA